CACCCACACACACACACACCCACACACACACACACCCACACACACATACTCACACACACACTCACACAAGGGTCACTCCATTTGCTTCTTATTAACAAATCTCGAAAACAGAAACCGTTCGGAGAAATGAAGTTCAAGTTTATTTTCCCGAACGTTCGGAGAAATAGAGCCAGCCATTTAAATTACCTATTCAACCTCACAGAACAATCCCTTTTCTCTTCTTGAGGCTGACTATTTGAAGGAGCAGAATGTTTGACCGTGGGAGACTCCTGTTATTGCTGTCAGCTGTTTGTGTGTGTCACGCAGTCCAAGGTAAGAATCATTTCACAATAAGCAGTTAAAGCAGCATGGAAGTTAAGTTTTTTTTGCCATATTAGTCTTTTCTTAAATATGCTTCTACTGAGAGCAATCTCATGTTTCTAACTGAATTTGTCAATCTCTGGTTTTGGCGCTAAGTGCACTGGAATATCAATGAGTAACTTTATGGTTAGGGTAAGGGGCAGGGTAAGTTTGGGTTAGGATGGTCAAACAGGGTCATCCCCTGAATTTTCTGCCCATTTTGAATAAAAACTATTGTATGCCACAAGTTCTATGGTGGTAGGGTAGTTACTAACACATTTTATAAATAAGGAAGGGATTTTCATTTGAAACTTTTCAATGTCTTAATCTATGATGTCTTTTCATGATAAAATTTGCAAAGCAGCACAGTGCTTTTATCACTTTTAAGACTGGTCCTCTTGCAAAACTATAATTTCTCTTCAGATTTCCCTCAGCTGAGTCACGTGCGCACCAAAACTTCTGCACAAGTTCAGCGTGAGGCAGCTCTTGATGTCATCGGTCGCCTCGTCCGCGACAGAGCCTCGGACTTTGAGGTCAGGGTCGACCAGAATGTGGGTCCCAAAGACAAGGATACGTTTAAGGTTGGTTGCAAAAGATGATTTTCAAATCGGGATTCATGTTGCATCTGAAGTATTATATTATGGTAACTTGGATTTTGTATGTGTAATGTCCAGAAGATTCAGGACAAATAAAGTAACGGTATGAATATGAAGCAGAACAAACTTGAAATTGAAGACCCCTAAAAAATGGTCAATGTTCTTTTGGTAAAATGTTGCTGCTTTTTATTGTGCACTTATCAACTGATGAAGGTTTATAACTTCTGTTGGTTCCTTCAGTTTCAGCCTATGTATTGAGGCGTTTTACTTTTCAAGTTAGTTGGTCAACTACAACCGGTTTCTTTGTATGCTTTAAAAATTGTTAATAACATTTAAGCATTTGGGGGGGGGGGGATGTAATTTTCAGTGCTGAAGTGCTGATGTCTGATGTTGGGTTTGTGTTTCTCAAGATTGTTTATGTTCCCACTGTCCTTTTTCTTACAGCTGAGCTCTATAGAAGGAGGGAGGATTCTGATTGAGGGCACCAGTGGCGTGGCTGTGTCTATGGGCTTCTACCACTATCTCAAGTACTGGTGCAACGCTCAGCGTACCTGGGCCGGTCAGCAGACGGAACTGCCTGCCACTTTACCATTGCTTGACAAGCCTGTAGTCGTCACCACCCACGACAAGTGAGAGACATGGGCAGAGAGGGAAAACTTCTCTTTGTTTGTTACTTTTGGTTCTGCTGTCTGTGATTCCCTGTTTTAGTAATGCTCAATGTGACAACAGACTTCTGATATAGCATGAGAGACAGAGCGGATTTCCTGATAATCAGCTGCTGACTGACAATCAAGACTATTTTTCTTAGCATAAACAGGGTTGCTGATGTTCTGGATAAATCCGGAAACCAGTATTTCTGAAAACATAAATGTGTTTTTAGATGGACCTTAAAAAGTGTTGAGCCCGAAACAAAAGAGTTAGATAAGAATTGCTCAGTGGGTGGGAAAATGTCTACTTTGTTTGATTTTGTTATTTTGATGAGCGCCTTATTTCACCATGAAGCAACATAATTTTCGGCAATTGCTGAAAATAGGTTTCTTTTACTCGGTGCTCCTTCATTAGAGGAAAACCAATCGAAATAGGTTTAATTCTTTTGATTTAATGATCAATTTAGTGGCATAAATGTCACTTTAATGTTTCGTACCAAAAGGGGATTTTGGCATAGTGGGGAAACCCCCTCCAGAGATGAAAAATGAAGTCCAGACAGGCCACAAAGCTGCAATCTAGGTTGTTGTCTGAAATTTTACACTTTTCTAGGACAATAAAATTATACGTAGACATTTTTCAGTTGAGGAGCATATAGAAGTGCTGGGACTTTGAAAGGAAATAAATATACGGATCAGATTTTTTATCACACATGGTACTGGAATAAAAAAGAAGGGGTGGAAATAATTTTTCGTCTGAGAAGCATTAATTAGGTATGCAGGTACTTCGAAAACAAATCTATCTTTCGGTTGTAAAAATGACCTTATTGTTCTTCCCAGATTTCGCTACTACAAGAACGTGTGTACGGAGAGCTACTCCTTCGCCTTCTGGCAGTGGGACCGCTGGGAACAGGAGATTGACTGGATGGCTCTACACGGGATCAACATGCCGCTGGCCTTCACTGGACAGGAGGCCATTTTCCAAAGGGTCAGATTTGTTGGTTGTTTTGTGTTTTTTAAATATTTTTATGTCGTGCCCAAAAATCATGAGCGTTATAATAATAATAGTATATATAATAATAATAATAATAATAATAACAATAATAATAATAATAATGATAAGTGAAATGAGGAAAATTTGTGTAAGACACAACGTTGGGGCCCCTGATGGGGTTCGAACCCCTGACCTTTTGGTTGTGAGCCCAACAGCCTAAGCACTAGACCGTCAGTGATTTTTTTTTTTAAAGGCATTTTATTTATCTGTCTTAAGAAAAAATTGTTTCTGGTCTTTCAGGTGTACTTGAACTTGGGCCTAACCCAGGCAGAGCTGGACGAACACTTTGGGGGACCGGCCTTCCTGGCTTGGTGAGTTTTTTTTCATGTTGTGTGTTAGGGGGGTATCGGGAAATAATAATGTTCTTCTTGGCTTGGTGAGTTTGTTTATTATATGGTAGAAAAGAAGCATTTTACTAATAAAATGGAAAGAATGTAATACAAATAATAAAGTGTTGGAAAGAGCTGGAGTTGGAGATATCAGTACGAACATAAAAACGAGAAGATGGAGATATTTAACTCTTTCCGGATGTAGTTTTTTTGGGGGGGTCCAGACGTAATTAACTTGTGGCTCGATTTGGCTACTCAGGTGGTATACAAAATAACTATATAAGAAAAACCATCTCTCAAAACGTAACATATGAAATATCAAATTGAAGGAATACATTCCAACATGAAACAAGGATTAATTTTGAACATAAGTTTGCCTTACAAGGGTTACAAATGGCGATGGTGATGAGAAAAATACATTTTGAGGGAAAAAATTACATTCATCAAACATGTGAAAGCAAATCAGCATAGCTATCTTATCATATACAGGCCAAGAGCATAATCCATAAATTTATGAATGCGCAGCTTTTTATATGAAAGCAATATTCCTATTTTTGTTAGAGTTATAATATTTATACTGAGTCCGGTTACATAATTTTGTTGATGCAAGACTGCAAGAACTAACTCACTCAATTTTTCCCCCAACCCACGCTTTGACAAAGTGAAACTAGATATTTTCATTTCCTAAACCCTTTCTGAGTTTTCGATAACAATAAAAAGTAATTATAAATGATGGATCATGTTAAAACGAAACAATACTGAGGCACCCTATCACAACCGATATATCAGCGATACGTCCGGGAAGAGTTAAGACATGTTTTAAGAATGTTAAAGACAAGGTTGCCCTCTTAGACATGGTTTTGGAGACCAACTGGAAAAAGAAAAAGAGGTAGACCAGCTGGAAGTTACTGAGGTACAATTAGGGAGGTGGCAGTCACCCAGGGCCTAAATGTGTCAAAATAAGAGAAGGTGGCCAGAGACAGGCAAGTGTGGTGTCCACTGCTCTACATCTGATGTACTTCACTGTTTTGGAGAGAGTAAGTAAGTAAGTAAGATGCCGGAAAATGATAATGTCCTTTCCTATATTTTCTATCACCATCAAGTGCGAGATTTGTGACAGATATTGGTGATCATGGTTTGTTTTGTTTTTGTAAGTGTTTTACGGCGCTCGCAACTGCATAAGGTCATATGAGCGCGCGGGACACATTAACTCTTTTTATCCTAGCTGTACCGCCACGGACTCTGTACCCGTCCTGGGGCCGCCGTGCCGTATGAGTCGGAAGTCAGTGCGTGTAGTTCAAAGTGCTATATTTCTTACATTTACTCTTAGGTTTTAAGGAAATTTGGCAGTTATGTTAGAAATTGAATGTAGTTTTTGTAAATGTATGTGGTTAGGAAATACTCCAATAGCACAATGTAGATTTTGAGGTGTATTCTACCCTCGAACTTGACCCTGATTGCCGCGCACACGACGTCCCATTGGATTTTATAGATCTAGATCTAGCCCTACCCATCGAGCACGAATTCCAGCACCGACCCCTTCACCATAATCGGAATCGCTATTAGATGAGTCGAAGTCCTGTTTCTTATCATCCAAAACGGAATTTACGGCATTTATTTCAGAGCCACTTTCATCAAATTAGTATCATTCCCCCTCACAACCCAGCGCCACTTCAAAAAGTACTTCGTCGGTCGTGAATGTGCTTTTTCGAGACAACTTTCAAGCCTCTACACCCATCAAAAACAAAGAAACCACAGTTCATTGGAAAATTAAAATATTCAGGCAGAGCTAGCATCGCCGTATTTGCGTATTTTGGTAATTACAAGCAGAACTAGCTTCTTTGACGTGACCGTATCGCTGTTCCGAGAATACTCGTAGCCCGGACTGGTCCTCGTTACGAGTATACTCGTAGCCCGGATAAAAAGAGTTAAACTTTTTCAGTTGGTAGGAAATTTTGAATTTTGCCGGGTGGCGGCCGAAGCCTACTCTTATCGATTTTAGACCCCCAAGGGATCTTTAACGTGTACAACTTGCACACGGGCCCTCCGAGATTTTTCGCCCTTGTCCGAGTAGGCTAGCTGTAGATCTTTCCTACCAGAAGATCAGGGGTGTGGCTGAAAGACAGCAATAAGAAGAAGCGAAGGAGTAGCAGTAGAAAGGCTGTAGAAAGAATAAGGAGTCCAGAGGAGGGGGGCAAAGGAGATGAGGGAGTGGGGGCAGAAAGAGGAGATGAAAGCAGATGACAGAATATTGCTAGAGAGCAGGAAAGGAGGTGAAAGGAGACAAATTTAGGGAAGAAAATTTTTCGGTCTCTACCCGGATTCGAACCGGGGACCTTTGAATGAGAGGCCAACACCTTAACCTCTAGGCCACGAGAGCCACGAGATCATGGTTTGCTTTTTTTTTGCTTGGATGCTGCGAAAAAGAACAGTTATACTATCATGCTGTTTTCCCGTCACTCATCTGTCCGAAAAGAGGCAAGCTCTTATCCTTTTTTGTCACACACACACAGGGAGGGAGGGAGGGAGAGAGAGAGAGAGGGGAGAGAGAGAGAGAAAGAGAGTAAGCTTTTTCTAATATTATGTATACACAGAGGTTCTTTTTCTTCTAATAGGTATCTGACAAAACTTATTTCCATCTCCCTGATATTAGGGCAAGAATGGGCAACCTGCGACGTTGGGGCGGACCGCTGCCTCAGATGTGGATCACCAACCAGCTGCTGCTCCAGCATAAAGTTCTACAGCGCATGCGCTCTCTGGGCATGACCCCGGTGCTTCCGGGCTTTGCGGGGCACGTGCCTCAGAATCTTACAAGGTACCGACTGTGGATGATGATGAGAGAAAAGGGGGAGGGAAGCAGGGTGGGAGAGAGGGGGGAGGGAGAGAGAAAGAGAGAGAGAGAGGGAGGGGGAAGAGAGAAAGTGAGAGATAGGAGAGAGACAGAGAGGGGGGGAGAGAGGGGGAAGGGATAAAGTGAGAGATGGGAGAGGGAAGGAGAGAGACAGAGAGGAGGGAGGGAGACAGAGAGAAGGGAGAAAGTGAGAGATGGGAGAGGGAAGGAGAGAGAGAGGGGGAGAGAGAGAGATACAGAGAGAGAGAGAGAGAGAGAGAGAGAGAGAGAGAGCACTATGGAAGCCATGGGTCTTTATGTCTTGTACAGTATTTTGTAATTTTGTCTAACCAGCTGCCAAGGCATATACAAATATGGGGGTCATGTTCAACGGTTATTATTTTATTTTTCCTCTTCCAGGGTGTTCCCAAATGCTAATGTCACGCGGATGAGAAGATGGTCTCAGTTCAACTCCACGTACACAGCGTAAGTTTTTGCTTCTCAGTAACTGCTTCTTGTGTGGTTATAGTCCCAGTAGCCAAGCCATATTGTCTGTCAGCTGTTAAAAAGTGCATAGCTGAAAATTTTGTCTGTCCTCATGAAACATCATCTTTCTGTTTGTCCTTGCAGGACCTATCTGTTGCAGTTTGAGGACCCACTGTTCCAGAAAATTGGTGGAATGTTCATACAGGAGGTTTGTGAACTGTGTTTTTTTTGCTTTCTTTGATGTGATTTTGAGGGAAATGTGAAAAAAAAAGGGGTGGGTGGGGTTGGTAACTTTGCCACAGGTTAGTGTCATTATAAGGAGATGGCATTATATCATCCTTTCTCGTAGTTTTTGAAATAAATGATCCTTGGTATTTTTAACGCTGTATAGATATCTCACGAGGCCAAAATGGTTGCTTTGGAATGCATCCCAAAACAAAAACAGGTGCGCTTTGAAAAATGTATTCCCCATGTCAGTTTGTTAGTGTTGGTGTTTGAGCACTTGCAGTCCGCAGTTTGCACTGCATGCTTCCGGAGAAGCTGAGAATGATTTCTGAGTGTTCTATGGTAATAATAGTTGTAAATCATGTTGTAGAGCATGGATATGCACTGTGTACATACAATTATTAATATTATGTCAGAATTATACTCACGCCCTTTACAAGCAAGGTGAAGAGCCTAACTCTCACACCGCATTTGTCATCTGTTCCTCTTCCCTTTGTGGAGCTTAGAAAAAAACTCCAGACATACAGAAATCGCTTGCCCAGAAGAATCCTTTCTTTTAGTTTCGGTAAAAATTTTGACATGTTGCTTATTTTCCATGTACTGTTGAAATAGTCCAAGACGTCCACCCACTGTCGAGGAAATAAGTTGTTGTTTTTGGCAGGCAGATGTTATGGACAATATCATATGAAAAAAAAAATCAAGAGAAGAAGTGGAAAGTTGTTGTTCAAACAAATGTTTGTCTTGGGCAGGTTCAAGTGTTTTTTGTTCAATGATTTTGAGATTTGGATTAATTTTATCTTTATTTAAAAACAATTTTTTTTTCAGTACGATCATGAATGCAAAGCCTTGCTTGATCTTAGTATTGTCTCTTGTCACTTTCTCAGATGACCCTGGAGTTTGGTACAGACCATGTTTACAACGCCGACACTTTTAATGAGATGGAGCCTCTGTCTAGGTGAGAAATAGAACTTGTAACAGTGGAAACTATCCAAGATGGCCACCCATTGTTGAAGAGAAAAATAGTCTGTTTTAGACAGGTGGATGTCTTGGACAGTGTCATTGTGATATATATGTGAGGCAGTTTGGTGGAATCAGGCTCTTGTCAATTTTTTGACATATTGAGTTATTGGTATCAACTTAAAGCTTGTTCCTTTGTCTTGCTTTCAATGAAAAAATCCCCCATCCATCGTCAATAGAAGTGGAGATATTATGCATTGAAGGAGGTGGGGTCACCTGGCTTAAGAGGTGAAATTAGCGTGAAAATGGCCGCCAAAGCTTTGTAAATTCCAAAGCTGGAGAGTCCATGGAAACTGTAAATT